CATATGAGCGATCTCATATGGTATTTTTCTTTCTCTTTCTGGCTTACTTCACTTAGAATGACATTCTCCAGGGACATCCATGTTGCTGCAAATGGCATTATGTTGTCATTTTTATGGCTGAATAGTATTCCATTGTATAAATGTACCACATCTTCTTTATCCAGTCATCTGTTGATGGACATTTAGTCTATTTCTGTGTCTTGGCTACTGTAAATAGTGCTGCTATGGACATTGGGGTGCAGGTGTCTTTTTGAAGTAGGGTTCCTTCCATCAATCCAATATTTTTGTCCCTAGTACAGGTGAGGGGTCTTGAGGGTTGTAAAACATGTTTTACAATTCCTTTATCAATTCTGCATATAGTCTGCTTTGGAATACAGCATTGGTGATGTCCTGCTGCCCCAATGAAAACTTCCAATGTGCTATCTTGGTACAGACTGTTAGCATTTTGCATTAGTCAGCAGCACTTGACTACTTCACACTCTAACCTTATTTTGTTTGTTTTGACCTGCATTCAGGGTCAAGGTAGAACTAACCTGGGGATTTAAGCAGCTTGTCTTCAGAACTCACATTCTGTGTACCCCCGCCCCAAATTTGGTCTCCTTCCCTCATGACTATGGATATCAGAAGCCCAGATCCTGTGGGGCGTGGATTATTAGGGGTCTGGAAACTTCTTATGTAAAGACAAGAAAGTAAATATTTTAGGATTTGTGGGCTGTACGGTCTCTGTCACAATTACTCAACTCTGTTGTGGTAACACAAAAGCAGCCACAGACAATTCGTAAACAAACGAGCATGGCTATGTTCCAGTGAGACTCTATTGACAGAGCAGGCAATGGGTCACAGTTCGCTGACTCCTGGATTAGATCAGTGAACAGAGAAAGAAATGGTGACCTTAACTATACTGGGAATTTACCTGGGCAGAAAGGGAAGAAAACCCCAGTGATGGAAAGCCTATAGGCTACGAAGGACAGAAACCTGCTTTGCTCAGGAAATGGGAGGACTTTAGAATTTAGCTCTGGAATTTGAAGAAAACCTCAGAAACTCAAGCTGGAAAAAGATCATCTTTTTTAAACCAGTAAAATATGATGCCCAACAAAAAGGAGGAGCAGCAGAGAAATCATCAGTAAGGTGTGTTCAAGGTCGCCTGCCATTGTCAAGGTCACTTTAGTCTTCACCATAGCAGGCTCTTTGTCGTGCACTTTTGTGCCACTGTGGCTGCCAGCACATTGACCTGCCTGCTTGGACACTGCTCTCACTTACACTCTTTGCTTCATGAAAAAGTTGTTCCCAAAACTGTTCAAAGATCTAGCAAATGCTTTATCCCTCAAGCCTTAACTGAGCATGCCCAGCTAGCTTCCAACATCCAGTATCTGCGTCTCATTGCCTGGAGCTTTCCCCATAGCTGGGAGGGCCTCTCCAGAGCCAGAGAGGCTGGAATTGCTGGAAAATTAACACGCCTCTCCCAGGGGCAGTCATCAGCCAGTGACCGATGTGAGTGGAGTGTTAATACCCCAACTCCCTTCCTCCTCAAATGAAATAACTGAGGAATGTGAGTTACACTGTTCCCCAGTTTTCTAGTGGTCTTGAGCTCCAGTCACTCCCCAGTGGAAAGTACTTCATAATGTACCTTTGTTGATATCTTTCTCTTCCATGTACTTCCCTACTAACTCTTGGAGTTTTCTGCACTTTCCAGGTAAACTCTTTGATCTCTGCTTCTTGCTCAGGAACTGCTTTGGGAGGAACCCAACCTAAGCAGAATGTCACTTTCTCTGTGTACTTTTCTTTAATGTCTCCATTCCACTTTCTGCCTCAGGGGCCTTTGGGCACATATCACATTTCATTATAGTCGTTTGAGTCAGATGGATCTCTTCCACCGAATGGTGAGTTTTCTAGAAATGAATCTTACTTCATCTTTGCATCACTGGCATTTTCCCCAGCCTGTCACACAGTGTTCAAGATGTGTTTGCTGACTACAGAAAGCTTGACACATAGGTAGAAAAGACATAAAGAGGCAAGTTTGAAGGGGCTAGTGCTGCACCACTAACCGCATACAAGAGCCGTTAGCCACATGTTGGCGGTTTCAATTGAAACTGGATGAAAACGAAAAATTCAGTTCCTCAGCCTCACTAGCCACATTTCAGGTGCTCGATAGTTGCATATGGTTAGTGATTATATTGGACAGTGCAGATGTAGACCTTTTCTATCATTGTGTATGGTTCCATCAGACAGCATGGGACAAGTGAACAGAATGGAGCATACAGAATCTGTGATTTTGTTACGTGCAATTTTATGTGGGTCACAGGGCTCCTAAAAGCTTTCAGGGATCAGGGGTGTATGAACAAGTACCTGTATCCTGCACTTGTGGTTACCTAAGGGCAGATACTACTTCATATTGCAAGAGAGAACCACTGATGTATAGTTTTTAAGTGATTGTTTTATTTACATTTTGGCTGAACCACAAGAAAGAGAAAAAGTAACTTCAAAGTTTCCTAGCCAAATTGAGATCCATGTTCCATGATATAATGTTCCACAGTTCACATCCTGTGCTGCCCACATAGGGTTGGGTTGAGATAAGACCTTTCAGACAGGAGTGAAGGTAAGAAAAGTCAAGGTCATTCACTAGCAGTCGAGATTGGATGGGATGGATGGCCAAGAGTATGCACATCCCTTCTCCAAGCATTTGATTAGGAAGTGAAATGTTTTGGCATTTGAATATTTTCTATCTTAAAGTGGAAGTTTCTCTCATTTGTGTTGAATTTAGGCACTGGCAATTTCCTTTTTAAGACATGATTTGATTTTGAACTAGGGCAATGTAGAACAAGAACACTGTCCAATTCAATCTGACAGTGAGCTCCCTGAGGGACTTAGCTGAGAACATGGCAGGTGCTCATCAAATGTTTACTGAATGAATGAATGATGTAACCAGATGAGTGAATGAACACATGAAACTTGAGTATACCTTAGTGAACAATTGAAAATGCACTTGGTCTCATGGGCAATGGGAGGTGATGCTGTGGAATTGTCCACCATGCCCCAGCCCTCTTTCTTTTTTTTTTTAACAATCTATTTTGTAGACTTTGAGCATCTAGCTCCTAAAACTTTAGCAAGATCAAAAATTATATATATATTCTCAAATTTTGTTTAATTTTTTGAAAAATGTGTTCCCACATTTCAGAATCCAAAGGGCACAAACGGGTATTCAGAGAAAGGTCCCCCCTTTCCCTATTCATTATGCATATCCCTCCCTAAAGACGACCACTGTTACTGCTTTCTTTTGTATCCTTTAAGAAGGTGATCAGTGCGTCTAAGCACAATGCAAAATGTGCGTGTGTGTGTCCTCTTGTTTTTTTTAATATACACTCTGTTTTGCTCTTTGTGTTTTTCAATCAACCATATATTCCTTCTGGTGCTTTAACTCTTCCTTCACACTGTCTCAGCCAAATTATTCTCTGGGTGCTCTTGTCACCTTTCTTATCAGCCGTTGATCTTTCCTTGCCTCCACACGTACCTTGTCTCCTAACTTACTTCCCTGCATGGTTCTGAGCCTCTACTCCGTCCTCTATGTGTTTCCAGATTTATCTTCCTAGCTCACCATGTTGATTGCTTTACTCCCCTGCTCTAAACAATAGCTCCCCTTGCCTCCCCAATAAAGCCTGAGATACTTTGCCTGAAATTCATGGCCCATTCCAACCTTCCCACCCACCCTGACACCCACACATGTTCCTGCCCTCCCCTCTCACCTTTGTATTGGGCATTCCATTGGCTTAGGGTGCCTTCCCACAAATCTTCTCCCTTTTCACATCCTGCCCCTCCTTCGGAGACCTACTCATAAGCCACTTCCTCCATGAAGTCTTCCTCCCTGAGATTCCAGCTCTTTCTTCCTGGCCCAGGCATAGCATCAAGTGTGTTCCTCTTTGCACTGGAGTTATTTGTGTCTGTCTGTCATATCCTCTACTACAGGGAAGGTTTCATGGATGCAAAGATTGTTTGTCTTACACATTTTTGCATCTTCAGTTAACCTAAGGTAATGTTTGTGCATCCTGTCTGTATCACCTAACACAACAGTTGTTGGATGATGATGATCAGTGAGACTGGCGTGTGAGAGGACAATATCTGAACAATTCAGGGCTCTGAGAAGTTTCTATGAGCAGGGCCTTTATTCTCTATACCAAACTGTTCTTCAGTTGAGTTGCTCCTGGGAAATGTGGTCATTTGGTGCAATCAGTTCACTATTAAGGAAATCAGTTCACTATTAAGAATATTCAGAACAAGTGTGGCATGCCATAATGGTGCTTGAGAGTACATATGCACAAATTTAAAAAAAACACTTTTCATCAAGCAAGGAAAGAGTTCGGCACGTTAAGAAGTAATGTAACTGATTTATTGTACTTTGTGAAGTCCCAGGAGGAGTTTCATTTATGTGAATCACTGGCTGAAGTTAAGTTTTAAAATGTAAAAAGTGTTACCTGTTTATAGCTGCATATAGTAACTATCTAACATTCAAGTGCATTACATGTATGTAACTCTTCAGAGAATCAAGCAAAGCTATGCTTTTCAGGGTTGATGATAAGTTGACTTTGGTAATGACTTTGGGGTGCATAGATATTCCACCATCGTTGTGTATATATTTTAATGTCTTCAAGAGTTCCAGTGTTGCCCTGGAAGTTCAAAGGACTGGTGTAGAGGTCTATACATTTGCTTCATCTGCCCTGTGCATCTTCTTTAGGCAATGTTCTGCATCTGACCTAAAATACAGCAGAGAGTTCCTGCTCCCCTGTTGATGGGGATACAGAGCTGGTTCTTTCCAGTTTTTCGGCAGGAAGGAATGGGATGTATTTGCCCAAGTAGATGGCCACGTGCTTGTGGAAAAAGTGGCGGAGGTGCTTCTGGAACCTCTCACCGACGAAGGCGTAAATCACAGGGTTGACGCAGCAGTGCGAGTGGGCAATCACCTCCGTCACCAGCATGGCCAGATCCAGCTGTCTGCTCTGCTCACAGTCGGTCTCAAAGTTCATTTGAAAAGCAGAGAGAAGGAGAACCAGGTTGTAGGGTGTCCAGAAAATGAAGAAGACCACCATGATGACAAAAATGAGCCGGATGGCCTTATATTTTTTTTTACTGGGACATCTCAGCAGCGTTTTAATGATTCCTGAGTAGCAGACAGCCATAACAAGCAGAGGCAGAGCGAGACCCAAGATATTCATCCTCAGAGCTTGGAAAATCTTCCAGGCATCTTCTCTACCCTGAGGGTAAAGAGGATTACAGACAGACTTGCCAAACTCCTCCTGAGACTCATGGAAGATAAAGTCAGGGATGGCTGCCAGCCCTGCCAGTCCCCAGATGAAGGCACTGGTGATGATACCAAAAGTGACCGTCCGGGCTCGCAGGGCAAACACAGCGTGGACGATGGCCAGATACCGGTCTATGGTGAGCAGGATGATGAAGAAGATCTCACTGTACAAGCCCATGTGATAAAGCCCAGAGAGCAGCTTACACATGCAGCGGCCAAAAGCCCACTCTTTCCACCCAATGTAGTGAATCCAGAACGGCAGCGTGAGCAGGACAAGCAGGTCAGAAACGGCCAGGTTGAGCAGGTAGATGTTGGTCATGATGTGGAGCCTCTTGTATTTTGTGAGGATCATCAGCACCACCACGTTGCCCAGCAGGCCAACCCCGAACACCAAGGAGTACAGCAAGGGCAGGAACTGGGCACCCAGCTCCTTGACGTCGACTTTTTCACATGGCATTGCTTCCTCATAGTCGTAGGGTGTGGTCTCCACAGCCTCCGTCCCATTGACTGAGGCCTCCATGTCCCTTGTCGTCCCTGTGTTGGAAGAACAGAGCAGCCCACAATTAGTCGTGATCGCCCCTGGTGAACCTCACCAGTTGATTTGTTCATTTACTTGATAAAACTACATGGGATGAACAGCCTATACCTTTCTCAGCATGTATTTTCAAAAGGATATCAGAGGTGCCATGGGGGGAGATGTCATGTTTTGAAAGTCAGCATGATCCATGATGAGAAAATAAATAGAGATGTTGTGGATGGTGGTGGAGAGTGGGGATGTTGTTCTGAAAGCATTTGAAGACGTACAAAACAGGAAAACACAGGTCAGATAATGATAACATCTTATAGTTATTATTACTGTATCTTTTAAGGCATTTTGTATTTTATGTTTTACAGTTTATATATGATTTTCAAAATAATCTTACCTATTTAAAAACCAAATGCTTATAATAATAGTAAGTGATTGTTATTACAAATAACTACCCCTCTCCATGGCTCCATAACAATGTGCTGTTCATCATAGCTAATGGGGAAATTGAACCTTAGAGACATTTAATAATTTGCCTAAAATCCTCTAACAAGTAATTACAAAAGTTTGGGCTAGTTCTTCAGTATCTATGCCCAGTTTTCTCATTGCTAGGTTCAAGTGCAGTGATCTTTAACTTTTGAAGACTTAGCTATTGTAATTTTTATTAACTATTATAACAATGTTAAACAGCATTACCTTTTCTTGTTCCTGATAATGCTGAGATAAGCCAATCATGTGCCAACAGCAAACCCCTTAGAACTTCTTCAGAAACGGGCTAAGCAGGAGGCGTAGGCCAGTGAGATTTCTTATTAGAGTTGATATTTCTCAGACCAGGATCCCTAGGGCCAGTGCCTACTTCTCTTAAGATTACAGACTTGGCTGGAGAAAGAAGGAAAATCAAACAAGGAAGGAGTCCCATGAAGGGCAGTTAATCTTTGCACTGCTCCCTTGGAAGGAGTCCTGCTGACTTGCTCCTTCCTATGAGCAAGGTACAGGTGTGAGGACATGAGTATATGTCAGTAGGCATCTCTCCAGTTAAATCTTACAAATGCAGTACTTTGAGCCAGCGGCAAGGAATTGTCTTTGCTTCTCAAGAGAATACTGGGACCCCAAAGGTCAACACATGTCAGGATTTTGTTCAGTGAAAGTGACAATAGAGAGGGGAGACACAGGAGTCAGTCTTGGCCATTCTGCTTGCCAGCTATGGGACGTAGACAAGCCCTTAACTCTGAGCCTCATTTATTCATCTCCAAAATAAGGATCTGCTACAACCCAAGGTTGTGGTGAGGATCAAATGAGAGTGTCTCCATGATATCACATTGTAAACTTAAAAAAAAAAACAAACCTGTGAAATTGGTAGGAAGCAGCAGTGAAAGAAAAGCGATCAGAAGCCATTTCATATGAACTCAGGAAAATGTAGGGGCCCTTGGGTAGAACTTGATCTGTTTTCATAACTCTGTCCTGATATATCATCCACTGACCAGTGACACATTTCAGGCTTTTGAGATGAAAAAGAGAATTGAAGAACAACTGATTTGTATGATCTTATCAGAATTCTTATTCCTAATGGCATAATCCACAGCCACTGAGAAAAAATAACCATCGTTTTCTCTGTTATGCATTTACAAACACAAGAGTGTGTCTCTAAACCTTAATGTCTTAAGCAAGAGAGGAATAGATCTGCTTGCTCCAGAGAGCAGAAATGCCTGTACTCACCATTAATTATTTGTATTTTCTTTCCTTTTATCCCAGACTGATCCAAAGACAAGTCAAACTTTTTAAAAAAAAATTCACTAAAGTTGTGTTAACTTGAGGCTCATGTCTTTAATTCATGCATCACTTCCATAAAACCAACATGATCAGTATGATAAAATTGTAGAAACTTTGGGGGCCCTAGACTGCAAAGCACAAGGAAGCAAGCAGGTTCTGTAGAGTCAGAAGCCAAGCCCTTGATTATTAGTTACATAGAATCAGAGATCTGAAGACTGTAACGGTTCTCAACTGTCTGCTGTCCTAATCGCAGTCCTTGCACTTTGGAAAAACGATATGGTAACAGTAAACAAACAAACAGCATCAGCAATAAAGCAAAGCAAAAAAAAAAAAAAGTAAAAACTACCCCAAATCTCACCATGAAGAGTTTACCACCATTAACATTTCTCTATGCAGATATGCATACATGGATACAAAGTTTTACAAAAAAATGAGATCATACTCCTTTAGTTGGTTCACTAAAATTGCTCACAGTACAACTCAGCCCTGCAATGTAAATGAAGTTTCTTTAGTTTCCAAAACTATTTGGTCCTCTGTTACTAGCTTCCCACCTGCTGGGTGGTAGGAAATGTTTTCATAAATTTTAGTCCCAAGTGGTTTAAATTTAGCCTGATCTATCCATTCATTTGAATGATGACTTTAGATTTTACTCATCCTGTTTCCAGCTTATAATTTCAGTTCCTTGTCTTCTCTCATTTGTCCTGTCTAAAATGGTATATAGATATGGGGGAGAGGCCAGCATGACTCGATACATGGACAGAGTAGGGAGGGGATGTTCTGGTCTCCTGCTGGTTCTTGATTTAAGTGGCCGGTATCTGCTGAGCAGCATCAACCTAGTCCCAACTCTGAGCCTTGTGCTGGCATCTGCTGCAAAGGTTTGTAGCTAATGGCCTCAGGATCCATTCATTCTCTGTCCTCCCTGGCATAGTGACCTCTCTCAGTGATGGAGTGTTCCCTTTGCTATGGCTAGAATGGAGAACCACATCTCCCTCAGGTTCCTGGCCCAGGCTGTGTTCTTTCTCCTGAATTGCTAGGTGCCCAGGCGGACATGCTGCTCCTTGACTCCATGTCCATGTACAACCAAGGGACACAGAAGACTGCAAACTAGATTGTTTTTCTGCCTGGCCCCCAACTTAACTGCACTAGCTACCCCATGTGGGTAAGTAGGTGCCTTGCAGAGAGACATCCTCTTGGGGGAACCCCCCAATTTTTCAAATAGCTCTATATACCCACCAACTCTGGTGAAAGCCTGGATGGGAGAGACAGGGACACACAGGTGTGACTGCTTCCTTCCATGACTATTGTCTCTTTTCTCACAATTCCTAGAGTCAGAAGGAGAGAAGCCCTCTCCTTGCCATTCTTGTTCTGGCCAGGTCCAACTAAATATTTATGCAACCTCCATTTTTACTGTGGTAAATGGTATAAGGTCATAGATACCTCTCTATGTTAACAAGTATAGTTTTACATTCACCAGTGTAAATATTAATAAATGCTGCAAAGTTTAATTGATAAGAAACATCTAGAATTGGAGACCCTTCTTTAGAAAATGTATTTAAGTTTGAAATGGCATTTTAATTATCAAATAAAATTTAATGATGACACTTAGTGCTGGTGAGTTTGCAGTGAACCTGGAGCACTTATTCATTGCTGATGCAATGTAACTTGATTCAATAAATTTCACATATAACGAGAACCATCAAGATACACATGGCTTTGATACAGTAGTTCTGCTCCTGAGAATTTACCCCTGAGGGGGAAAAGTCGACAAAACCAATATATAAGGTGCACAAAGATGTTCACTGTGGCATTATTTTCATAACAGAAAAATAAGAAATGCGAACAGTCTAAATGTTTAACACATGAAGGATATGTTGAATTAAATTGTAGTCCATTTACACAATAGGTTATCATGCAGTCGTTAAAACTAGTTTTGGAGACGAGGTAGAATCACAGACAAATGTTTATGAAAAATGACAAGAATATAAAGTGTGTAAATGAAAATCACAACAACATGAAATTATATGCACATATAAAAGGCAAAAGGCAAATAATGAAAATAGTTGTGGGAGGGAAGTAGATTATAATTTTTAAAGCTGTAAAATTTTTAATTTTTCTATATTCCATTATTGATTAAACTATAATAGAGAACAAATGTTCTTAAGCAGGGATTTCTGGAAGAGTTGGCAGACATGTTTTCTAAAGCTAACTGGGTTGAAAACCTAGGCAAATAACAAGATGAAGGGTATACTCATCAGAACCTGAAACCACAAACTGAGATTTAAGAAACTTGAAGAGGCGGCCACGCTAGGTAAAGAATTTGAATTTTGTTTTGAAATTTAGAGATCATAGTAGCTTCGTTCTCCCCTTTGATCTTGGGTGGAGCTGACAAACAACCACCCAAACAGGGGAGAGACGGCTTCTCTTAAGGTCCTGAGACTTGCGTTGGCTGGGGCTCAGCCAGCCTCCACAGGAAGACCGAGAAGGCCCTTCATATTACCACTGTGGTTACCTTCATGTGGACATGTGGGCTGCCAGAATGCCTCCAGATTATTCAGTGTGTGATACTCTCATGCCCACAATTTTTATTCTTCTCAGTCCGTAACTCTTATAGCTTTGGGCAAATTCTGAACTTGGAGGATATCCACAGGACCCTGCTCTTCTCTTGCTAGAGCAGCCGTTCAGCCTCTGTGTCTGGACACTATGCTTAGATATCCCAGAGTGAACATCAGAAGGGCAACCCTGGGGTTTACATAATTCAAACTCTCTTGTCTTTGAAGAACTGGAGGCTATTTCCCTGCATCCAAATGCAAGCCAGAGTCTCTCCTAATGAGAATACACTCAAACAGTCTTGTTAAACTCTAAAGATGCCCCAAATCAAACCAGCTCCTTTGTCCTGAGCCCCACCCTGCACGATGCCTTTAAATGGAAGAAATTCTCATTTTCCAGCATGGATCAAATAATGCATGATATGGTCAGAAGCTTGCTTTGTATGATGTGTTTTTTTCCCTTATTGTCAACAATCACCTGGGAAGGGAAAAAGTACTGAGAGGAAGATGGTCTCTGAGTTCAGGAAGTTTAGGTTCTTTACACATAACCAAAGTGTGATAAGAGTCAGTAATAACTGCCTTTCTTACGCCAGGCACTTTATATAGGCTTGCTTGTCCTCATGGCAGGGTAGGATTTTACATCCCCATTTTATAGATGAGCAGAGGCTTGGCAGGGCTTCGTAACTATTCTG